TGAGCGTTCCTACATAAGTACACTTTAGGTCTCCCCAGCCCAAGACACAGAAAACAGCATCATACGGCAGTCTAAGCATGAGAGGGGACCGACCACAACGTTGCTCATCAGCGCCCCCTGGGCAGTCCTCCATGCCATTGCAGTGAGAGCTGGAGGGCAGGCAGGTACCATTGGGGCACAGGAAGCCATTGCAGTGAGTGCCCCCTATGGAGAAAGAGAAAGACGTAAAGATGGCCATGACTTGTTTACCACATGTCTCAGTGAGGGGGTTGTGGGGAGGGTGGGGGGGAGAATCGGCAGGGGGGACTGACCGCAGCGTGAGGGCTCCTCATCAGAGCCATCCTGGCAGTCGTCGTCTCCGTCACACACCCAGCGCTGGGGGATACAGTGGCCTGTGTGGCACTGGAAGCTGCTGGATTCACAGGTGTGGTGACCCACTGGAGGGGGGGGTCACAGTTAGACACCTGCACTGGACTGCTCATACAGAAACCAATGGACATAAAGAACCGCAGACACGACTGCGTTCCAGCTACCAGGACCTGACTATTATGGAGAATCGACACTGTGCCTCTTCAGTTGACTATGATTAAAGGAAGTAAATATGAAAGCTGAAGGCTGAAGGCTTGGGGTTATAGTATCTGGGCCGACCCTCCCGCCCTGACCTGTGCAGTTGGTCTCATCTGACCAGTCTCGGCAGTCGTTGTCCCCGTCACAGCGCCACGCCTCACGGATGCAAACTCCGCGGGCACACGTGAACTCCCCCACACGGCACTGGTGACTCTCTGTGAGCACAGACAGGGACACAGTCAGGCCCACAGGCCCAGTCTGGTCAGATCACCATCCAATCACACACAGCCTGGTCAGCTCACCATCCAATCACACAAAGCCCGGTCAGCTCACCATCCAATCCCACGCAGTCACACAGAGCCCAGTCAGCTCACCACCCAATCACATGCAGTCACACAAAGCCCAGTCAGCTCATCACCCAATCACATGCAGTCTGGTGCGCTCTCCAATCACACGCAGGCACACACTCACCACAGTGCTCCTCGTCACTATTATCACCGCAGTCATCTTCATGGTCACATTTGAAGGCCAATGGGATGCAGGATCCAGAGGCAACACAGCGGAACTGCACAGCAGGGTCACAAACGGTGGTGGCTGGGGGGGACCACACAGCATTCAGAGAATCCATATTTCGAAAGCACAGCACATTTACAAAGGAAATGGCAACAACACGTGACTGATCACATGCAAGTCGCTGCTCCTCCCAGCTGCTTGTCTATATATAGATACACTCACGGCACTCCTGCTCGTCGCTCATGTCGCCGCAGTCGTTGTCGCTGTCACACTTCCAAATGCTACTGATGCATTTCCCGTTGGAGCAGCGGTATTGATTGGGGAGGCAGGTGCGCTCTGGGTAATGGCAGCACAGGGAGATGCGGCGGTATGAGCAGACGGATCGATGGGGAACCTCGCAGGACAGAGAAAAGGCCCGGCAGCCGATTCCGCTCCAACTTACCCATCTTGATGCAGGTGTTGTTCTGGAGGTGGTACCCGGCTGGACATTGGCACTGCAGCTCGCCCGAGGGCAGCTGCTTGGTGGGCGCCCCCTCTGGGCACACGCAGGTATGACGGTGCCCGGGACGTGGAAGGCAGAGCAGGCTGCAGGGCTGGTCGGCACAAGCGTTGTGCCCTGGGGGTAGGAGGTCAGAGGTGGGTGTGAAGGTCACCCTTTTATTAGAGTTTAACCTGTTTCAGGTTCACCGCTACTGCTGCCTGCTGACTGTATATTTTTGCAAATCCATCATGTTCCTTTGCATTCAAACTAAGCTAAACTTAACTGGCCGATTGAAACACGCATGGGGAAGACGATGGTGACATCTACATGCACTATTAGCCTACTTCCACCTCGATTAAGAGATGTATGACTAACACCCCAGACACCAGAAGCTAAGCTCCGCCCCCCAGAACCCTCTCCCAGCTGGCATCCTGACCTTTGGTCTTGCCCCTATAGAAGATCTTGAGGTCCATCACGCCAGTCAGCCGGCCCACCAGCAGCTCACTGTCCAGCGAGCCGGACTTGGGGGCCTTAAAGATGCCCATGCGGGACCAGTCATCCCAGTAGATGTCATTCTGCGAAGGGGCACATGAGTCTTAGCCCAGCGCTAACACGAGGTCCAATTAATCGACTCGGTATCAAGCCCTTGAGGTGTGGGACTACATGACCAGAACAAACGTGTGCTGTCCCTTGGTTCCCAGGAACACACTGGTTTATGCGGAATTCTACGCAATACTTTCCCTGACATTCTTTGCACTGGTACTGTTTATTGTTACTATGTAAATGTAATTTGACTGTGTAAAAGTGTGCATTGAGCTACTGTAAACCTGCAATTTCCTTTGGGGTAAAAGACTGATCAATCTATCTATCCATCCATCTATCCATCCATCTGTCCGTCCATCTCATCCAGTGGCAAAGAAGCTCTAATAATTTATTGGCTATTAACTTGCTCTCAACCATCCTATCGTTAAACTGTGTTCTCCAGCTCTCTGACCTGGTTCTTTGGCTAGCTTTCCCCAACTGGAGGCTGTGGGAATGTAAGGGATACCTTGAAGATGGCGATGGCATAGGGGTGTGGCAGGCCCTCCATGAGCACGGTGCGCTGGGCGCCCAGGAAGTCGGCCCGCTCGATGCGGTCCCCGAACGCCTCAGTCCAGTATAGCCAGTGCTCGTCGGTGGTGATGCCGTTGGGCCAGCGTACTCCCTCAGACACGATGCAGGACACGTTGGTGCCGTCCATCCAGGCGCGGTACACTCCAGCTGCACGGTCCCCCCAGTCGGTCCAGAACATCAGGCTGGACCCGCAACACACACACACACACACAAACACACACAAACACGTAAGGAGTTTCCATGCCAACCATATTAAGCTGGGTGTCTCAGTTCTCATGCTATTCTGTTCTGAACAAGCTGGGACAGGCTGCTGAAACCAAGGGGCGCAGCTGGGGCTTCTACTGAGGCTACATCAAGATTAAAACGCAAGGCTGTTCATTCCAGGATTAGCGGAGGGGAAAGTGCCGTACCTCTCCCCAGGCAGCAGAGCCAGGGCCCTGGGGTGCTCCAGCACGGAGGAGTTGAACAGAGTGTGACGCAGGTCCCCATCAGAGTTGGCCACCTGAAGGGTGGGTGAGACAATCAAATGTCATTCCGTGTTCTTGTAGCGGCATTTCCTTACAGTGGATCAAGTGCTTTTCATGCTACCCCCCTCCCCCCCTCTCTCCATCCCTCTCTCCATCCCTCTCTCCATCCCTCTCACTCCAAGCACTCGTCTCGCTCCCTCACCTCAATCTTCTGAGCGCCAGCATCCACCCAGAAGAGGAGCCGGCTGACGGGGTCAAAGGCCAGCGCCTCCACGTTCTGCAGGCCCCTCCTCACGATGATCTCCTGTCCAGAGCTTCCGTTCAGGCACAACCTCTACAAAGTGGGGGGGGGGGGGGGGAGAGGGGCAGAAAGGAGTCACGACGGTTCACCGTGCTGAGAATGAGACGTGGACCATGTACAGCCACTAAAGCATCAAGAAGAAGCGGCCAGCGGGGAGGCAGACCTGGATGGTGTCCAGCGCAATGTCAGCCCAGTACAAGCAGTTCTGCTCGTAGTCAAAGTCCAAGGCCACGGCTTCTCGCAGGCCTGACAATGGCAGCGGCTGGTCAGTGCCGCTGGCCAGGTCGTAGCGATGGATGGAGCTCCGCACGGCATACAGGATGAACTCGTTACTCTCTGAGGAAAGTAGGGGGGACAAACAGGACTCAGTCAGTCAAAGAGCTTCAATCGACAAACATCTATACGTCAACAGGTAGTCCCAGGCCAACCTCACCTCCCACAGGGCAAGGCAGCATCTCTCCACCCAGCCTGGCTTCCACATCACCTCCATGGCAGCTATCCCCAGATACCTTCCTGTACCTAAGACAAAATGCACACACAGTTACCCCCAATTTTACACCTACATCTACGCAAAATCAATTGATCACCAATCCAGAAGCCCTCAATTTCTCTCACTGCCACTAGGGGGCAGTATGACCCTTGCCATAAAGCCAGTGCACTGGATCTATGCGGTACTTATCAAAACATACAAAACATGCAACATCCTGTACAGGATCCAGAGACAAAATGAGCCACCATAGCAAGTTCAGTCTTCCTTGGACTAGATTCTGCAAGCGTCTCAAACTCTATGGAAAACCAACAGCACCATTCCCCCGCAAGAAATTGTAGCGTTTTGTTGTTTATTGGTCGTGGTCAGTGCCGTCGCAGGCACTGCTGCATAATCTCCCGAAAGATTTTTGCTTTCAGAACTATGAAATATTGTTTACATTGTTCTCCTATTCTCACTATTACCCAGAAATGGTCCAGGGGCAGAATGGACCTACACAACGATGGCTAAGGATGTGCACCGAGCACTTTTCAGGATGTGCACGACACACGTCTCCAGGACACGCACCGAACATATTCCTCACGCCGCCAGATTTCCTCGCACCCCTTCACTCTTTACAGACGTGCATTTCTTAGTGTGGTTAGCGGCTTACGGGCTCTTGCCCAATCATAACGTCCTGTGGAATTCCTAATAATACAAACCACATGTGTATCACATTGACATTTGCGGCGAACCGATTTGTTTTGCCGTGCAACTCAAAGCAATTCAGAAACACGACAGTGGAGCACTGTGCGTTTATCATTCCGCATTGTCTCAAGCTGAAGATGTCTTTCCTTTAGCTTTTCATACCAAAATCCCCTTATCTACTCATCTCCGGATTATCAGTACGGTGAGCAGGTTCTGCCAAACAAGTAATGGAGACATCCCATCATACACAGGGTAGCTAATAATCAGGGTTATTATAGTTAACAAAAACCAAGACTAAAACTAAAAAAAAATGTAAACTAGGAGTGAAAAAGTAATTTTTTTAACTGGGAAAAAAAAAACGAAAAATAAAAAAAAATTTTAAATGAAAACTAAATTAAAAACTACAGTGAACGATGCAACATAAATGCAGGTAAAATCAGTGTCATTTTCAATTTTACCGCCTCAATTTATACTGTGGTTGTTGCTGTAAATCTACGTCACACCATACAGCTCACAGGAAGCAAAGACCGTCGTCCACCATCCACCACTGAGGTATTCCTGTATACTGTATTTCTGCATTCACGGGGGTTGGGTGTGTGCTGCCTTTGGCAGGAATAGCAACAATGTTCACAGCAAAAGATTCTTTAGGATGCCAAAATAAATGTAAAAAAAAACTGTGATCCAGACAGAGATTAAGTTTTATCCAGTGAGCACCGCTGTGCGTTCTCTCTGTTCTCCGTCTCACAGACACACATGTATGTGATGTGCAGTGGTTTATATAAATTTAAATGTACTCCTCTAGGCTAACCTTTTATTAAAATATAAGATTACTGCTAAATGGAAACCAGTTACTAAGTTTTATTTAATGGTTTGCCAATGGATTCATGTTTATCAATTGTACTCATTTCTTCATATTCCTACCCTATGGTCCAGCTTAAAACAGGGTGGGTGGCCTCTTGCAGATCACTGTTAGAATCTTTCACACATTCAGTGTTGAGTGAAATGTTATTGATTTTGGCATTTTGAGTGTTTTGAGAGTTTTTGAAATTGGTGCACTCCACTTTATTTCAGCATTATCTTAACGCTTTGTCCAATAAGTGTCTGATTGCTTTACTTTAATATTTCTAGGAATAATTACTCACTCTCTAACCACCACTTCCCCAAGGGTTTTCACTGGGGGACACCCAGACGGACTTTACTTTCTCCAGAAGTGAAAATCCCATGAACTCTGTGGATATTGTAAGCAGGGAATGGGAGCATCAATAGCCCAGGACCTTCACAGCTACAATAGCATGATGGGGTTACAGGGAAGAGGTCAGGGGTGTGGAAGGACATTAGGAGGCAAGAAACCAAAATGCTTCACGCTTCCTCCTTAGCCGTTTCATGTGCGGCATGAAAGCAAACAAATCACTTCCAGTGTGGTATCAAAATGTGGTACTAAAATTAATATTGAAACTATACAAGAACTAAACTAAAACTAGAAATGTTCAGAAAATAAAGAAGGACACAAACTATTTGTACACTCATAAGAAACTGAAACTGAACTAAAACTGAAAAACGAAATATGACAACTAATGTAAATTTCAAAACTGTAGTATTGCTCTTAATAATGGAGAAGGGAGTTTGTTCAGTATCTGTTTACATGACCCCACGAGCGATGAATCGGTGTGGAGGGACCAGTTCTCACCATAAGCCGAATTCCTCACTGATTCGAGCATTATACTTATCTTGGTAGTTACTTGGTATTTATTTGGTAGTTACTTGGAGGTCTACATGTCTACACTGATAGCACTTGGGCACCTACATCATTCTGCAGAAAGAGCTTAACTGCAGACATTTTTATTTGGGCAAATGTGTATAAAAACTGAAAACTAAAAATTAGAAGAAGAAAAAAAATCTTGACCATTTCTATGACCCCATAAGCCAGTATTTCCCAAAGTTGGTCCATGTTTTTGCTCCCTTCCAAAAACTGTGGGTCCCCAAGTGCAGGATTGGGAAACAGTGGCAAGCAGATACAGGCTGAGACACGTCAGGTATCCCTGGGTCATTGGGCCTCCTAATGGTTAAGGGTTGGAGTCCTAGGCCCCTGCTATGTGGAGCTGTCCTGCTAAGGGCCTGATCTCCTCACCCCTTGCTGTGACGATATGTGGTGCCCACGGGGCAGGGCACGGGTGGGACATCCAGCCGGCCAGAGAACTCAGGGTCAGGGACACACACCTCGAGGAACAGGTCATCACTCAGCTTGTACCCATAGTCACTGAAATGGAGAGAGGCAGAAGAATTTAGGAAGAGAGAAAACAGAACCTTGGAACAGAACTACTAATAGTATTATTATTATTATTATTATTATTATTATTATTATTATTATTAATCATCATGATCGGTTCAGTCCCGCTAAAGCATGACATCGTGGGCGTGGCTTACGAGCTGCCGGCAAACACAGACTTGCTAGGAGGATTCGCTCACTGACAGTTTGCACCGTATTTTTCACTAAAGCAGGCTCATTTCCTGTTTTCTATAATATCAGTATGCCCCCACCCCAGCCAGCCAGCGGACCTTGGACCCCCAGAGGTTTTCTTCTTTTGGTTTCTCCCTGCCATGGTCTCTTGGCTCTCTTTCTTTCCCTCTTCTCTGTATCATGCACCATTTTGTACAAGCGACGTAATAATCGTTTGCCACACACTCTTGTCAAGTGCCTTGGGGCAAGTCTGTTGCGAAAGACGCTATATAAAAATAAACTGAATTGGATGATGATCATCACCACTATCATTATACATTTGACTGTAATGATGGGTATTTTTCTTCAAAGTAGGAATAAATACATCTATATCTGGTATATCTATAACTGCAATCAACGTCGTCGGCATGCCAATAAAATCCATTTTCTGTCGGTTGATGGGTGGTCATTAGCTAAGTGCTGTCAGATCAGTGATGGATGTCGCTGACCTAGAGGACAGGCGGGTCGTCCTGCTGGGGAGAGACAGGCTCTCACCATTCGTAGTCCTGCCGTGTGCAGGAGCAGTTGGTCACGGTGATTGGCCGGTCAAAGTCCTCGCCGTTGAAGCAGGTGGCGTGTGGAGTGCGGCGCTTGAATACCAGCTCACGGCCCAGCAAGCAGCCATTGCCCCGCTCGTCTGACGGTGACCAGCGCTTATAGTCCGCCTCCGTGCACGGCACCCCTGTGCAAACATACACTTATACCGAGGCTACCACAACAGCACAGGAATCAGATGTGTTCACCAATACCGAGGCTACCACAATGACACAGGAATCAGATGTGTTCACCAATACAGTGGCTACCACAATAACACAAGAATCATATGTGTTCACCAATACCGAGGCTACCACAATAACACAAGAATCATATGTGTTCACCAATACCGATGCTGCAAAACGACACAGGAACCAGATGTGTTCACCAATAATGACACAGGAACCTGATATCGAAGTTACCACAATGACACGGGGACCAGATATGTTCACCAATACTGAGGCTACCACATTGACACAGGGACCAGATATGTTCACCAATACTGAGGCTACCACATTAGTGCACTGGGATTTACACACCGGCCTTGGAGCTAGCACAATGACACAGGAGCCATATGCATTCACCAATACCACACACAGGTACTGGAGTTACCAAAGTTACACAGTACTAATATAAACACACATATTACCAAGGCTACCATAATAATACAGTAATGGCATGCAAATAGTGGAACATCTGTGATTCCCAAGGGGTGATGCATCAAACTCTTCATTCATTCATTAGGATGGGTGTTGTTAATTCTGGTGCACGCAGCAGCAAGAACATAGTACACAGATTAACAGAAATCGTGCAAAACTATGCAGGACTGTGGGGGCCTAGATCCTATCCTGGAAATTAGTGGCATTAGCCAGGGAACTACCCACGACGGGGCACCAACCCATCACACCTAGAGACAATCTGGCACCTCCAATACACCACAGGGAAGAACATGCAAACTCCACAGACACAGAGACAGGGAACTGAGCCCTGGTCTCCACAGGTGTGAAGCAGCAGTGCTTCTACTGAAGTGCTACAACTATAATCAATTTCTTTCCCATTGATACTTCACAGCATGAACCTCAAGATGAAAGCGGTTTCTCACCCAGGACATCGCTGGCGTTGACCTGCAGGATGAGCCAGCTGTGACCCTGGTCAGCATAGGAGCCGAAGATGGTGAAGACGGTGCTCTTCTCCCCAGGCTCTGTCAGCAGCTGGTACACGTACACCTCCCTGGAGGAGAACTGGAAAGGCGTCCATGTTTCGCCCTCGTTGGTGCTGAACCTGAGAAGCGGATGATCCAGAGAGACAGGTGATCACACCATGGGATGACACTGCAAGTTACAGTTCAGCACATCTCTCAGCACATCATAGCCCAGTTTCTCTGTGCGCACAGCACAGATTCATGTCATGGGGGGCAGCGCAGACTCACTTCAACTCCGTGGTGGGGCCACCTTGTGCAATAGCCATGAGAATTCCACCGTGGTCTCCCCAGGTGTAGAAGTGTGGACCAGCCAGGGCCTAGAATACATACAAGCCTACCGCTAAAAATCTGTTTCCCAGAATGCACCATTGGCAAGTTACCATTAATGCAATGAATACCGTACTATAATATCCTAATAACTCTAATTCCCATTCAGAGGTTACCAGTAATCATTGTGTGACATCACCACCATGAGTTCACATACATCTAATGACCTACCTTCCCTTGTCTCCCACAATGCATTGCTACAACTAAGTATAGGTGCAAAAGAACTGACTTACCTCTCTCCAACGAACCCCAGCACTGCTCGACATGTACACGTTAGGTTTATTGGCCAGGCTGCGCCCCACAGATCCTGAAAGAGAGAGAGAGAGAGAGAGAGAGAGAGAGGGCAGGAGGGGTCACGACCTTAATCACACAATGAGCACACTGTGCAACACTGCCCCCTGGAGCCAAGTTGTATCTTGACGCCATTTCACCACCAGCTGGTGGATATTTGTTTACCTTCTGGTGAGAAACTCAGTGTGCCTGCAGTTAGGCAGGCAGCCACTGGTCCCCTATGGGGATGCTCCACTGGTACAAACCCACACTCGGCTCTGGGAAATCGACCAAACTCTCACGCCGCACTAAATTTCCTTGGGGGGGGGGGGGGGGGGAGGCAGAAGGTCGTCGTATCGGAGGCGATAACTCAAAGGCAGAACTGTCCCTTACAGATGAAACACAAATGAGATTAACTCCCTGAAGCCCGGAAAAATCGGCTTAGGGCGGAGGGAAAAGGGAAATAAAGCGAAAGGAACTTTCACTGGCGATACCCGACACAGAAAGTGGGCAGCTGCTGGCAGCTGGGCCCGGAACAGCAGCGTATGAGAGTCTCGGGGGAATGGGCACGCTAATTACTATGCGGATGAAGGAAACTCCTAATTACATCGTCTGTGTTACCAAGATAACAAGAGGAGGACAAACCTCCCGCCTTATCTAATGATCGTCCAATTAAGCATCGAGACCCGAAAGAGTGCTCTCTAAAACCAACAAACAAACAAGCGATAATGACTATGGGAAAAATTTGGGGAAGATGCTGACAGATCTGTATTATACCTCCAGCTATGCACTGGGCTACACCATGACCCCAGAATGCCCCCTCCTCCTTTGAAAAAGCCCCATCAGTGCTGGCAGATGAGCCGGAAAGCAGCTTCAAGTGAAAACTTGCTCTCTGGATTATAGTCCTGCCTATGCACATTCCTACGGACGAGATTTATTGCTGGATGCCATTTTAGTGGCGTAACGTGATGAAAGTGACAGTGGCGGAGACGGACAGAGGATGCGGCCGCCACCGCCGTTGATCTGGTTCCTCAGCTATGAGGTTCCACTGCATTCTGCGGCTGCCCGACATGCCACAGTGGCACGAGACAGGCAGCCATAAAAGAGCAGGGCGAGAACCAGTGAAGTCTGGATTGTGGCTCCGGTTCAACTGGGGCTGCTGTTGTACAGAAGTCGGCTCTACAACATTCTGCAGTCAGCCTTGAGCAATTGGCGGGGGGGGGGGGGGAGTTAAACAACAGCCACTGTCATGGCAGAGCACTTACATTAAAAGCAAAACCAGAGGCAAATAACTATGAACAGTGACAAAGGTGGTAGGACTCCCCCTGCTGGTCAGAGGGAGCAGGGACCCACCCACCTGTGGCCATGATGAAGCCTGGGGCTGATTCCTTGGACAGGATGGGCATCCTCCGCAGCTGCACGTTGAGCAGCTGGCTCCAGCGCTGGGCCAGATGCAGTGAGCAGCCCTTGGAGAGCTTTAGGGTGTGAAGGCAGAGGGGAGAGTAAGTCGAAGGGCTAGACAGCCAGTGGTCAAATACCACCAGTTACACAGACAAATCACTGTAAAAAAACAGTGTGACGATACATTAAAAAAAGGACACAAACACACACTGTCATTTATGTCCCAAAAGATCTCCCCAAACAAACAGAGGTCCACCATCCAATCTACATAAACAGGCGTCCTCTCCGTGTCACTGGTCACTGGTTCAAATCTGGGGCTGCTAGACTAATTCTGTCATTGGGCTCCTGAGCAAGAGCCTTTAAGTGCTGGCTGGCCCAGCGCTGTGACCCCCCAAGCTTGCTCTCCCCTCTAAATGTATGTTTGTTTCACGGGGAGCAAGTTCTGACAGACAAAAAAAAAGATAATTTCCCCATGGAGATGCATGAAGAATCACTGTTCTATTCTGTATTAATCATCATCAGGACCATCTCCAGCGTGGCTACCTGGCAGGCAAGGGTGCCGCCCAGACTGTCCGTGCTGGGGGGCTGCAGCAGCTCCCAGGTGCCCCCCTTGTCGAAGGTGATGACGGAGCGCATATTGTCCTCGCTGAGCGAGCCGTTGATCAGCGTGGCAATGTAGACCCCACGTAGGCCCTCCACACGGTGCAAGTCGGCAAAGGGCTCGCTGGCGAAGTACCTGTGGGCACAGGTCCTCGGGGGGGTCACCCGCAGTTCATCCAGCCCAAAATGCCATCTTCGTCATCATAATCATCATCATCATCATCATCAGCTGAGTCAGGATCGGTTTTTAAATCAGAGGTGGGTAATCCAGGTCCAAGGAGTACAAATGCAGAAGTTGAGTAGAAAGAAGTGCTTCTCAAACCAGTCCTCGGGGATCCCAGACGGTCCACGTTGTGACTCTCTCCCAATTCCCTGAGAGTTGGGATGGAGCAAAAACATGGACCATCTGGAAGTCCCTGTGGACTGGTTTGCGAAACACTAATATAATGAGTCACAGTCACGGTACTCAACCGGTTGGTCAAAACAAAATCTTGGTCTGGACTTGGACTGAACTACCCATCTCTGGTACTTACTCTCCAAGCACGTCGCATACACAGTAAAAGCTCTCGTATCTGGCAACTTCCAGACTGTGGTACTGCCGAACAGCTGAACATTACTCTTGAAAAGCACCGACGTGTAACATTTCTCACACTTACTTGAACCCTTTTATGCACTTATGATTACCGTTCTTTTTGATTACTGTTATTTTCACATGCCGCGATATCAGATCTTCGATACAACACAAAGGTTCTCGCAAAGCGTGCCGCTCCATAGGCACGTACAGGAACTGACATACGTATTGCACAATGCTTTCCTTATTTTCTTGTTAGTGTCATTCTTTTTTGAAGAATAGTGCTATTAATTACTATAATGAATATTTCATTTTCATACTGGTATTTTAGAACTGTGCCACAGAGCCCTGTGATGTTTCCCAGAAGTGAATTTTTGGAAATACAGTGGGCTTGGGCGGGAGGGGGTTGGTGAGGAATCTCATTATTCGTGTCGCCCATATAACTGTGCAGATGTTCAATGGGGGGCAGATTATAGCCAAAAGCAGCAAGGACAACTGTGCACTTACAGTGGGCAGACAGTAACGGAGGAGGTGCGGATGCTTCTGAATGACTCTACAGAACGATAAAAAAAAAATGGGTTGGGTAACCTTGAGTTCCTGCAGCTGCTTCCATAAGTACATCAGCTACTTTGCATTCTTAGCGAAAGCAGTGACGTGCTTCTCCCATTTCAGGAAGCTGGCGAAGGCGCCACCCAGAGTCTTGACTAAATCCAGTCCAGCGACAGTTATATTACCGATTGTTATTAAATGATTGTTAGTGGAGAGATGCCAATTGCCACTGCTGAGGTTTTGACAGTGTCCTTCTAGATGATTCTTTGAGCATCACGAAGCCAGGCTAGCTGCTGTAACTTTTGATGAAGGCGCTTTACCCAGCAAGGGTTACATACACCAGCACTCGTGTGGGTTGAAATCATTTCTGCAATGGATGATGATCCAGGCAGGTGATTCATCAAACTCCTGTGCATGGTTTCATATCCGTTTGTGATGACACCTATAAGTACAGTGTCACCAGCCGTACTGAGCAAACTTGTAATTGGATTAGTGGAAGTTCAGGAGCTGGTACTTAGGTTGCCAGCATCCGACAAGTGAGCTCCAGGCTGCGCATGTTGCTTTCAGCGTGTTGGTAATCCACCGACAGGTGGGAGGGGGTAATTAACACATCAGCCCGATCACACTCATCCATGACAAAATATTCAGTCGTTTCCTTAGTCACCGCTCTTATTCTCCTCACACTCGTCCGCATTATCATCACGGTCCGCTAATGTTAGCATCCTCACCAATGTCATTCCTCAGCGATGTCAATGTCAAATTGTCAAATTACCATCATCTCAAAAAGTCTGTTCACGTCCGTCAGGCCCAGTCATATTCGCCGTAAATGTCTTTATCTCATCAAAAGAACAGTATCTGTGTCCATTACTGTCACCATCACACTCAATGTCTTCACTTTCAATCTTAGCACTGCTGCCCAAGTCATTGAGGTTGTATCTAAACTAGTGATCACCAACTGGTGCACTCCATCGTCATCCAGACTAAAATACATCTGAATCCAGACCTCCAATTGTCAGAGGGCCTGCCCCCCCCCCCAGTTGGATTCTTTTTCCAGACATACTGGACCTTTGCTTTGTGATACAGATGGAATTTAGTCCTCAGGAAACCACAGTTGGAGACCCCTGGTCCAAACCATTCACCCCCAAACTAACCTGATGAGTGTGTTGCTGCCAGTGCCATCAGGACTGTAATACAGCACGTTCTCCAGCGAGAGAGAGAAGGAGAGGCCCAGCGTGTCGGAGATGTACAGATGGGTGATGTTGTCCTGGTGGTTCACGCACACGAACACCTGGTCTTCTGAGGCGTCTGCGACGTAGTACTCCTGCCAAGGTTGGGGTGTAGGCTTCACCAGGCGTATGGAACACAGCACAGACTAGGGGCACCATTACTTCACAGATAACCAATGAGAGGGCTACGTTACTTCTCAGGCTATGCTAGTAGCAGCCGCTCTACATTCGGGGGGAACCTAAACCAGATTCAAATAATTTAAGTTTCTAAAATTAATCCGCTTCTTAATTATGTTCTAAGGAGAAATTCTGACCCAGTGCGAACCTGTTATGAAGATTAGGCTGACTGGTAGCATGAACCCTTGCAATGTTCTCTCCCACTGCATTGTGGGTACTCACAGTGATTGGGTGGCGAGTGTTGAATTGAGCCGCCCTCATGGGCTGACGGTTGTAAGAGACCCAAAGCTGGACAGAGGATGGTTCCTGGCTCCCCAGCAGCGTCTAGGAGGAACACAACCGCGGCCCAGAGTGTCAGAAGCAGCCCTGCTTCGATAAACCCCCCCAAAGCAGGTCAAACACCCGCTTCCATCACAGCTCTCACCACCCTCTGAGGAACATCATCCTGATGCTGCCAACAGCTTTATACAGGAAGGCAAACATGACATTTGATTTATGTTGGTGGCTATGTTAACAGCGGGTTGTGTCTGAAAGTAGAATGAGACAAATAAGAAGAAAAAAAAATCACAGATTAAAAATTGACCAGTAAGTAGATCATTTCAGTGCTGAGGAATGATTTACACATATGCACAGACCAGGGGGAAAAATTAATTATATTCAGGTGAACCTCCATATTTCAAAAGAATCTAGAGCTATGATATCCTGTAGACAGCAACACCCTGGACCGGATGAGCCTGTTGGCAGGGAAGTCTGTTCTAGTAAGCCTCTCTGGTTTCCATGGCAGCTCTCTGAGGCAGCCTTGGCCCTGGGGGGGTGGGGGGGGGTTATTTCCTCAAGAGATCGGGCACAAGGCAGGCTTACGGCTCGAGATGAAGAACAACATCCCCTCGTTGGCTTTAGAAGTGACAACTGTGACCTTTCCAAAAATAAATAAATACCGCTGTAGATGTCAAAGAGCTTTCATTTAGTAAGGAAATATGACTGAATCGGCAGCTGAGACACTGGGGCGAGAGCTCCAGCTGAATTGGCACATGGAAAGATGCTGGCTCCCAGTAATGCTTCCAGCACAAACCCAACAGGCATGCAGAAATAATGGAGGAGGCCCCATTACAGTTAATACTGTAGGCAGACACAGAAACAGTTCAGGTGCCCTCTTAAAACAGCAGGGCATGACACTGTAATCAGCTATCCCTAAAATGAGATTACCTGAGCTTGTAACAATGTGGCTTATTCGCATTTGACTTTCTGAAATAAAAAAAATTAAAAAAACACACACACACACACACACACACACACACACACACACACACACACGCAAGCTGGTAGGACAAAACAGAGAGAGAAGCATGCCACAATCTTTCCTATTTCCCCGAACATCATGTCGCAACACACACACACACATCCAACTCCCCATTGTATTGATTTATCAGGCTGCTGATGGGATGCGCTGTTCCTGAAGACAAACAAAGGTGGATCCTGAACGAGCGATAGGGATGTCACCGTGATTAAACTCAGGGGTCTATGACCATGACAGGGTTGGTGGGGGCTGTGCAATTTACTAGAAAAGGAAGTGACAAGATTACCAATCAGTGATATTTTCCAGTCCACAACAAACTTTAAAAATGTACCATCTTGTCTACATTACATTGTCTGTGATTACTGGGTCACTACTAGAGCCTGAACGAAATTCTGAAAGAATTCCAGCCAGTAGCTGGGGAATCTCCAAGACATACAGTCTAACGCAGAATAACCTGCTTGCCCACCTCATGAGGCATTCCAGTCATTACCCCACCTTCTCTTCATCTCTGCATTCCAGTCAGGGTCATCCACTACCACTCTTACAGGATGTGGAAATGACTCTAGAGTGTGGGTAGGTAAGAGACTTTCATCAAAGCATGCAACAGCTAGCCTGGCACTGCAAAACGTCTGGATCGACTGACAAATGGACCTAGACTAGTATCTAGGAGGTGCGGTTGAAGATGACACAATGAGATGAAGTAAGATCCTAAGTGGAACAGAAACACAGCAGGAAGAAAGGCTTCCTAGATGAAGGGCCAACTCAAGTGTAGTACCCACCCAGAGGACCATCTGTGCGAGATCGCCGGGTTCTCTGTCCCCAATGTGCTTTCTGTTCAAACCAGTATTTCTCAATCCAGTCCTCAGGGAGCCCCAGACAATCCACATCTTTGCTCCCACCCAGATTCTGGCCAATCAAGAACACCGAATACCTACTATGGATGTGTTAGGAGCTGGGAGAGAGCAAAAATATGGACTGGGGTCTCCGCAGACTATGCTGGGAACCACTGCTTCGAATCCAAACCTTCATGCCGCCTTTCTGTTGGGTATTTGAGCCTCGGTGTAGCAGAGTTCCCTGTGGTCTCGGCTCAGTTCTCATGTTTTCACTGGGTTCTGCAGAGCAGCCGGACGGCTCTGAGCATCTGCCAAAGTCGGGCAGTTTGGGGGAAGCTGCCCTGGGAGAGAGGAGAGTGGGGGGCCCCGGTCCGGCACACCCAATCAGCGTTGTGGTTAGCCTCTGTGGTTCAGCTGCGGTCTGGCCTGTCGGAGCCACTGCTGCCGTGCCGTTTAACTTTATTACTTTAAAGGGGCACCGTTGAGCGCAGCAAATTTGCCTTATGGGTAAAATGGCTCCCTGTGTTGTGTCAAGGGAAGGACGGCGTAGCCTGAATATCCACTGCCTCAGTTGGGAAAAATCCAAAGCAATTTGGTCGACATGTGGGGTTAGGGGCTCGGAATTGCCACTAGGGAAAAGAGACACATTAATGGGCATGGTTTAAATATCAGTGCCTCACAATTTGATGAAGACATTTGGTTGGATGATATTGTATTTGCCACATGCACAAATACGAGTACAGGTGCACTGGAATGCGAGTACGAGCACAGGTGCACTGGAATGCGAGTACGAGCACAGGTGCACTGGAATGCGAGTACGAGCACAGGTACACTGGAATGCGAGTACGTGTACAGGTGCACTGGAATGCGAGTACGTGTACAGGTGCACTGGAATGTGAGTACGTGTACAGGTGCACTGGAATGCATCTTTTTGCATATCCATCATCTTGGTGGGGGTGGTGGGGTGGGGTTAAGGGCTTTGCTAAAGGGCCCAGCAGACATGTGACTATTCTGCAAAATGGGAGTCAAACCAGCAACCATCTGATCACAGGCAGACAGGACTAACCTGTTAGCTACTGAGAGAGTGCAAACAAAACAACAGGTCTGGAGGTGTTAAGAGGGGCCAAAACGAGCAGCAGGGGGCCGAGGGCCAACAGTCCAGTGCAGGTGCAGGGCAGTCCGCCCCCATCTGTCACTTGTCCAAAGGCACACCTTATTGGATATTGCAACTTTAGGAGAACTGCAGCTCCATTATGCCTGTGGCACTCAAACTTTCAATTACAATTATGATTGTAATTTGGAATTGTAGGCACTCCTGAAGTCACAATTACAATTTACAATTACAAATTCTTTACGCAAAGCAAAGTACAATTGAAAGCCGGGTCAGCCAGTCCCTGGAGCAATTGGGGGTTAAAGGCCTTGCTCAACGTCCAAACATTGAAATCACTCTGCTGACTCTCGGATTTGAATCTGATCACAGGCACCGTGATCCAACCCCCGCTGAGCCACACAGAACCCTCAGAGACTGGAGGGGAGGGGTGGGAGCAGAGCTCACAGGACACAAGGGGGCAAGGGGGGATGGTATAAGGGGGGAAACCCCATCACGGCACGCATAGTTGAGAGACGGGGAGTAACAGGAGCTTCAAAAGCTGCCTCCAGGGTTTGGCCCAGAAATGAAATGAAATTCACATTCAATTTGCTGCTTCGCCATCAAAGCTCTCGTACCAAAAAATCCTTGCCAGGGCCCAGGGCATGGCAAAACATGAGCGTTCGCGAAAAGGCTCAGGGGCGCCAGACAAGCCCAGTTAAACGGAGTCTCTGGTGGAGGAGAGGGGGAGGGGGCGGGGCGAGGGGGCGGAGCTCCTCCAGCAGAATGAGCAGGGCAGCTCCGCATTAACCCAGATATCCTCCGTGCAGGGGGGGGTGGGGGATTGTTCCGGAGGATCAGCACCAGCCTCACTAAAAGGCTCAGGCAGAGGAGACCTCACGGGCCGTGGGGAGGGGGGGGTGTTTAATTAGTCTCAGTAGCCCCTTGTTGTCAGTGGAGTTTTGCGATATTCATTAATGGTAATCCTATTAGCAGAGCAGAGAGACGGATAGGAGGTTTAAGCAGGCTGGGGGGTTGGGGGTACTGCTCAATCTCAAACATCCCTGCTAGTTTTGTCTTGTGATGCTTTTTAGGGTTGGCAGCCACTGAGCCGCAGAGCCGGGGTGGGGGGGGCGATTCACGAGGAAAGAGCGTCACTCGCTGGCTCTGTCCTTCCAGCATCTCCGGGGGTGACTGGGCAGGAATGTTATCCATCTTGTCACACTCTGATTCATTTCCATGTTTGGAAAAAGTGATAGCCCATTACTGCCATAAACAACAATCAAAACATTAACAGGAGCCCTCCTGCTTCGTGACTGGGTCAGGCAGCAGGTCACCGTCCACTGCCTTGGCCCGATAGCTATTGCTACCTGCCCCGTCTTCTACTGCAGCGGGTGCTGTCATAGTCACTGGCACAGACTCTACAGGACATCCAGAGCCATTAACAAACCAACAGCAATTCTGAAACCTAGCAAACGCGGGGCATGAAAAAAAGAACAAGCACATGCACACGCAGGCACACACGCACGTGCGCGCACACACTCACGCAACAAACTCCCAGGGCTGACCCAATTTCCTGCAATATAAAGTCTGGCGCCAACGATTCTCATCAAATAAAATAGTTTCTGTTTTTTAATATGAAGGCAAATAAAAAAGAAACAGTCCTCACAGAGTGCTTTTGGAGGCAAAAAAAAACATTAATTAAAATACCCAAGTTCACAGATCAACAGGTGTAAGTTTCGAGCGTGGTTTAGCAGGACACGTGCATACATGCATACCGAATTGCGTTACACTCTCAGTGGTGAACAGTGAGGTTCGGGTGCCATCTGCCCGCAAGAGCCGGGCTGGACCAGCTCACTCGACCCCGGCTCACGCCACACGGGTGGCCCATCTGCCACTCGCGTGAGTCCCAGGTGGCACGTGACTCCGCCGCAGTCTCGCTGCGGTCTGAGTGCCCGCCAAGCAGCACAGGTACCCGTGGGGCAGCTTCCAACGTGCTGTTTAGCCGGGCTGTGGCTGGACATGATTACCTCATGACTACAGTCCCCCCACCCCACCACCCCCCAGCTTGGGACTTGGTACATGATGTACCTGCTACTATTGGCTGAATATGCCACAATCACACAAGGGTGGGGGGGTGGGGTCTACCCGGTGCTCAATGCATATGGAGGTCCACAGTGGGGAAACATCCATCCATCCATCCATCCATCCATCTTTGCAGGAAGCTTAGAAGCTTACAAGGCAAACACCCATCTACCACAACTGCATGGAACAAACCAACCGACAGGAACACAGGAGGGGGAATAAGTTAAATGCATGTTTTTTTTTTTTTTGGGGGGGGGGGGTTCAAACCTTGAAGTCAATAAAATTAAAATGCCAATTTAAAAACCAGGGTAGCATGAGCATCGTAGTAAAAAGTTAGACCTGTAGTGGTGATTAATGTGTAATGTGTAACGGCCCCCGCGGATCGCTGGCTCATGCTGCTGGTAAAGCCTTCAGCTAGAGGCTCCTAACTCACAGAATCCTCAGCCAGACAGCATAAAGGATGCACACTCAGTCACAGTATTTAAACCCCGACTGAAGACCTTCTCCAGCATATCAGAGCGTATCTGGGCCATTTCCATCCATCTCATCTTAAATAACGCTGTGGTAAGTGACGTGGCAGCATGCTGCCATACCTCTAACTTAATTAGCCAGACCCCAGTGCAGCAGCAGTTTACGCTAAACCCCCCCCCCCATTTTGGGAGCTCATGGCACAACCTATGACAGGCTGACCAGCTGAACATTACCAGCTGCCCCAAGAGAGGGTCGAACCAAGAGAATTTTCTGGAGACGGGAGCCCGGTGATCTAATTAAAAATTCAGTGCTCAAAATATTCACACACTTAACTGTAACCTGTTTAAACTTTGGATGGGGGGGGGCTTTGAATACCCAGGGGTTTTTCCCCACCTGTAACTCCCACAACAGTTTTCCTTACTTACCTTTAATACAGTACTATAGTGACTGATGATTATTACTTGTACGATGTAATACTGGTCTTGCTGCACTTATTTTAAGAGCTTTCGTACAACTCAATTTCAAGTCAATTTATGTTTATATAGCTCAATTTCCAAAGTAACCCAGAGGCACTTGACAAGAGTGTGTAGTGACCCATTACTATGCCATTTATACAAAATACAAAATTGTGCGTGACACAGGGAAAATGGAAAGAAAGAATATGGCAGGAGCAGGCGTACAACTGCCAGGAAGGACGTTATACTCTAACGTAGGGAAGCAGACCTGAAATCAGGGATGTGAGGACTCTGCTCCTCATTACCACACCCTCAGGGCCAGGATTCTAACAACAGGACATGAAGGAGACGTCCACCGCTGCCGTCACCTGATACGCAAACAACTTGTCCATCGATCGCGTCTGCGAGGCGCTCGGAGTGTCACGCCGTCCCTGCGTGCATTTCACGCAGAATCGGGCCCCGCGGATCGATGAAGGAACCCACCAAAGCGTACTCTCAGAAGTCAACACGAGGCACACTGCCGTTTCGTTCTGCTTTGCCTACCCTAGTATTTAAACCGACAACGTTCTGGTCACAGGCACGACGTCACGACCCGCTGAGCGACATACCACCAGTGTTATATTTATAGTTGGGAGGCGGGTGTTTGCAGGCGGGTAAGCGGGCAGGTCAGCCATGGAGCTCACCCGCGTTGTCGTGGCGAACATGTACTTGTCACGCAGCTGGAAGCTGTCCACACGTTCCATGATCACGCTGCGGTTCTGCTCACTCTGGTAGAAGTCGGTACTGATGAGCACACTGGAGGCGCCGGATGGCTCGTGTCTCTGGACGATCACTGTGGTGGGGGGGGGGGGGGGACACATGCCGCGGGGTTTAGGTACATATATACAAGAGTGACGCAGCAAATTGGGACAACGTGGGAACAGGGGGACGAGCATCTTAAGGAGGTTTGGGGGGGTAAATGACATCCGTCCCACATACAGGCGGTTATGAAGGGAAATGCTGAGAGCATCTAATCCTGCCATCAGCGAGAGAGAGAGAGAGAGAGAGAGAGAGAGAGAGAGAGACACACACACACACACACACACACACACACACACACACACACACACACACACAGACAGACAGACAGACAGACGGGGAGAGAAAGACAAATAGACCCTTTAATAATCCCCAACAAAACATACAATTAGACTGTAAACACACTTTTATACATTAATAGACCATAACAATAAATAATATACAGCAATTAACAGTAATAGTGCAAGGAATGTCAGGGCATGTAACTGCTCAGAAATAAATAGTATTACACAGTGGGTTGTAGAGAGAACAAATGAAGGTCCTGAGAAGGTAACTATGCGGGTCTTATATAGCGCTCCCCTGGGACAGTACGACCTCACAGTGTGTCTCCTCACGTGGCCACATAAGGAGACCAGCCCTATGAAAGAACAGACGGCCAATAACTAATCAGAGGGAAAAGGGTGATCGTCACTCTTCTGGGCAGAATGGGCTGATTAACAAGGAGCAGGGAAGTTGTGATGTAAATTGGGAGATTAGCACAGAATCCACTATGAGCACTGTGGAAGAATTTAAAATCAGAGAAGCAGGCATGGATTCGGAGCACGGCTTCAGAACACTTCGTTACCTCACTAATCCCCCCCCCCACCTGCAGCCCTCTAACCTACTGGTGGGTGAAAGATATATTCCTGCATGGTGAGACTGTGGATTAGGACACAGCAGGGTATTGCCTTTGCTGCCCATTACTCTAACTGCAAGTCTTTGGACCGCAAGAGGAAATACACCTTAAACTGGGATTCAAACCCCCAACCCTGAATGAGACGTAATGACCCATCCAACTGAGTCACCATAGCACTCTATATAAATAACTGATCAAGGTAATTAATACTATTACTATAAAAACAACTTATTGTTACATCCGTGAATTGGAATTATAACAATCCAATATAACAACACTTCAGTATCATTATGGCATTAATCAGCATGGATGACACGAGTCGTTAAAGCCTCCATTAACCACACCTAAGAAAACAATCTATTTTCTCAGCACCAATTTGGGGCCAGTTCCAGTGGAACACACTTTCCAAACATCTCCCAAATGACGACAGCGATTACGAGGGTTAGCAGGGCTCCTCTGACAAGCACCTGCCTCGACCCATGGCGACACTGTTTATGGCTAAATGGCCTCGACAGAGAGGTAGGCGGCTGTCTGTACAAATCGGGTTCGATAGACGCTTCAGGATCCAGGATCCAGGATGAGGCTGACTCAGCAGCTTAGGAGACGGTGCTTGCCGATTCGAATCCCAAACTAGGCAGAATGATTTCACCATTGGACCCTTGAATAAGGCCCTAAATATCCATTTGCTCTAGGGACTGCTTTTCGCTGGTTTGGGAAGCGCTGCCAAAAGGGATTCACGACTCGTTTGTTTCTCATGACAGAGTGGACGGGCCCTGAAGAGCCAGAGACACCCAGCGACACAAGGATGGCTGCCTTCAGGGATGTACACGCACAGACATACACAAACTGTTCATATATTCCTATCTTGTGGGGATTCTTCATTCATTTCTATGGACATAACCTTAATCTCGACTTTGTTAACCTTAACCCTGACTAACACCAGCCGTATCCTTAACCGTAAGCAACCAAACAAAAAGCAAAACTTTTGGTTATTTAGGTTTTTTGATGTTTTGTATTGAAAGGACCTGAAAATATCCCCTCAAGCAAAATAGTAGCAGGTTTTACCACATTGGTCTCCACAATGCAGTTTACACAAAGCCACACACAAACACACCCACTGAAAGACAGTCAGTCAGCCAAATACAAACAACAACACAAGGAGACTAAGCCAGACAAGCAGGTTACTGGCAGCAAAGTCCCCCCCCCCCAGTCCCTAGAGATGCTCTGACAAAGGAGGAGAGATGTGAGGAACAGAGCAGAAATCTTACCAGAAGTAGGACTTCACATGTTCCTGGATCAGCACCCAAGTCTCTCCAAAGTCATCTGACTTCCACAACTGTAACGTGGGGGGTGAGGGGGTCACTTATAGCGCTACATGGCAGAGAATTTTTCGAATGTATGTTCCTTCCAATACAGCTATAGAAAACGAGCAGTACATTATGAAGAGTTACAACAATACTTGACAAGTCTGATGCGCCGGTCTGAGCTCTCACACTCATTAAGGGGTTAGGAGGGTGGGAGGATTGCAATAATAATGTGCCAGTTGTGTCCTGAAATGAACTGTCTTCCCCTAGTGTAGATAATGGACAGCAAATACATCGGGTCATTAACACGGGTGAAGGCTACGTCTGAGCTCAATCCCAGAGATAATGAGGTGATGCTGGCCATCACAGGGCCGTGACAGGGTCCAGACTGGCCCAGCCGGGGTCACTAACCCGTTTATTGGGGTGCAGGCTGTCATAGCCAAGCACCAGGCTGGGGTTTGTGCTGTGCAGCAGGAGATCAGTAGGCTTGAAGGGGATGGAGAAGCCCTGGACAGTCTTGCAGAAGTCGAACGTGTTCCACAGGAAGCCATTCGTGGTGTCGGCAAAGAGGTACTGTGGGAAAGAGAGAGCACTGAAACAGTGTCTGGCGCAGACAAACAGGAAGGCTTTGTTTTCTTAGAATACTGTGGAGTACCTGAACCCAAACTTGAGCTCAAACAAAGAAGCAAGCAAACAAACAAACAAACAAAACGCCAAACAATCATACAGTGAGACATTCTCTGTTCTCATTCTCCTAAAGGCTGACAGATCTGCTCCAGAGTAAGTAAACAAGTAAGCAGAAGGTGGTAAAGAAGGTTCTGGAAGCAGAATCGCCGTATGTGCCGCAAGGAGGCCCGCCACAGTACCGACAAACAGGGAAAGCATTTGAGTAAAAATACTCAGCTCTGAAAACGGAGACTGTGATATAGCAAACAAATTAATCCATTAAGCAAATGTAAACAAATCCTCTCCTGACTGACAATCCTAGAAAATCCCCCGCCCCTCCTGGTAGAACCAGCAGAGATGTGGGGGGGGCGGCGAGGGTGCAAGAACAGGCTGACAGATCGAACTCCGTCAGCCTTTGATCGTTGGGCCAAACAAACAAACAAAAAAGGCAGCAGCCTGAAGATTCACACCCCGTGTTCTGAACTACACTCCTGGGGGGCCGTTCGAGTTTTTGATTTAGTCACTCGCGGCAGGAGTTCGCATGTTTTGTATGGCTTTTAAAAATAAAGCGGAACAAATAGAGATTGTGCCATTTATTCAACAAAATGCAAACAAGTGTTTCACAAGGTTCATAGGCGGACGACAGACATGGCTAATTAACCACCAAGCAGCGAGGGGTTTCCCAGAAGCATCATGGACCCGTGACAAGAACGCTCAATAAAGCCTGAGAAACAGACCCTAGACCAGTTATGCAGAGGAATAGGTGCATATAGACCAGGGGTCCCCAGCCCTATTTTACAAAGAACTGGGGAACTAATTCTAACGTATTCTGGGGAACTAATTGTTTGACAGTAGCAGCATAAGTATTTCTGCTATTTATGTCCGCTCTGTCATGACATCATGGCACTCATCTTCCGTCTGATGACCCTCGCCGATTTTTGTGTTTTGGTGTGGTGGCAGGGGATTAAGTGGTTATATGAAATGTGTTGAATTTTGTTCGTTAAATTACGTGCAGTATACTTTTAACTGTTAAGAAGAGAGAGTGTGTTATGTTTGTTCAATGCATTGTGAACTATGCTCTTCACTCTCCCCCTTTGCGGCTGTGATGGCGCTGGCTATCATTAAGGGCGAGGACTGGCATGGAAATGGCTGATCAGACTTCTGAGGTTACAGAGGCATTGGTTATTATTATTATTATTGTATTGTATATATATTTATTTTCCTCTTTTTTGTCCTTTGTGTGTAGGTCCTGTGGGGAAAGGGTATTGAATTCTGGGGTTTTTGTAATAAAAGAAAAATATTTCTGGAATCCCTCCTGCAGTTCTCCCATCTTTTATGGCGACCCCGTGGTTTTTGGTGGTGCCCTTGCGTAGGCCATCACAGTCCGAGACAAAGTCGAATACACATGCATAAGCAAAATGCAAAAGAATTAAAATTATTGATCTGACTTCTAATAAGTGTTATACAAGATACTCAATGGCCCCCTGCGGGTTACCGGTGGCTCGTGGTCAGCATGTTAGTGACCACTGATATAGACTCACAAGCCTATTATATGTCTAATCAGAGCAGCAGGCAACATCCTTGGGAAGCTGGTCTATGTCCCAGTAGTCCCTGTTACCAGCTAGCTCCCTATCACAGTCTATGTCAAGTCAAGTCATTGGAACGAAATTTCGTTTCTGCAGTGCATCGGACGGCTAGAACAAAGGACAGATGACCTACAAACAACAGTACACAATGACTCAGTGGGAGCAAACTGGACGAGCAGGTGGAGACCAGATCGGGTGGAGCCACCTACCCTCTTGTTGTCGACTGGGCTGTGGTAGAACTGAGCAATGGCCTGCTTGTTGCCCGCCTTGGAATCGCTCAGCTGGAACCGTTCCGAGATGTGGGAAAAGGTGGTTCCGTAGTCGTAGGACACATACACCTGTGAAAGGGAACGTGATACGACATGGGTGCAAACCTCCAAGCCAAAACTCTCAAAGCCGTCTCTGGAACCCGGCCACCGTCCAGAAATTTTCACAGAGGACCAATGGACAATTGAACTTGTGCTTGACTTAAGCAAACTAAATTTCGAGTTCACGGCGAGGTCGTCATCGGCCTCCTGATTTTAGCCAAACTGGTTGCCATCACAGGCACTGCACCTGACAGCCAGTTTCGTCCACAAATCCACCCCTCAGGAATTTCATCGCCACGTCCCTGGAAATACACAGGCCTTGCGGCAAAGTGCTGACAACCTTCAGGTGGTGCAAGACTGAGAAGCAAATAGGCATGATTTATTTAGGTACAGGCGGAGCATGGAAAAACGAGAGGCAAGACCTCAGTGGGGGCATGAACTTCCTGTCAGAGACTCGCCCAGACAGGAAATTAAGCATGCAGGAATCTAAATTTGTTTTCAAAACAAGACAGGCTTGCAGTTGAGTAGAAGGGTAAAATGCCAAATCTGTTTACTCGATAACAAATAGTTGTCCAATGTTTACAAATGAGAGAAGAGGGTTTAAACATTACAGTTTTCACCTATTTATTCCCTGTTTTTCTGATCTCCCACTGACAAAAGTCTCAGGAAAAAATCTCTTGCTAGTGTTAACACAGTGGAGATAAAAATAGACTGTAGGCTCCATAGAACTAAGCAGATAGGGGTTTCACTCTGAATGGAGAGCTTTCATTTAGATGACAGATGTTTATCTGGTTCAAAAAATAAAACTGTGCTCTACTGGTGTAGGCACTTTGACGTTTTAATTAAATGTACATGAGACATTTCTTGTCGCAGTAAAAATGCTTTATTCTGCAGACATAAAATTTATTTGCACTCTTTGGAGTGAATCTGTTAGCTTCAGTTAAGAGAAACACAGGTTCTTGATTAGTCACGGTCCATAAGGTTCTCGGTACGTCGCTCCTGCAAGAACCTACCGCGCTCGTCTTGGGCCCGGAGGCGCCGGCGCTGTCCCGGGCCAGCGCCACAATGACATTGCTCCTCTCCCCGGCCCAGTGCACCACCATCTGGTTGTGGGAATCATTCAGGTTGACCTGCATGGAGGAGAGGAGACGAGGCAGTCACGTGACAGCAGCTCACTTCTACCCCAGGCGACAGGAGGCAGCGGTCACACGTCCAGAGCGACAAGAAGCTTCTGCAGACTGCACGCGGCCACCTGCCGCCATTCCAGCCCGCCGTAACCTTGAAGGTGTCCACTGTCACAGGGAACTAGGGCGCCCTCTGCTGATGTGCTGCTGCCCACTCCCAGCCGCGACACATCAGGAAGCACGACTTCTTTGTAACAGGGCAAATCCAGTGCCATCTGTTTATTATTAATATTCATTTATATTATTATTACTTTTGTTATTATTGTTATTATTCTCAATATTTCCCTATTTCAATATTTTGCTTTTCAGAACTTTCTATTTCCGTGTCATGCATTTCAAATTAGTTTGAACCACATTTACTTCTTCACAATGTCTGCACTTCGTTGATCCTAGGGGAAATTCTCATGCGTTCAACAGCGAGAACGTGGAGCACGAGTATACACATTGTGCAAAGTTAATCTCGATCTTAATATCTCACTGCGGTGGATGCTTGTGTGTGTGTGTGTGTGTGTGTGTGTGTGTGTGTGCGCGTGCGCGTGTGTGTGTGTGAGAGAGTGCGTGCACGGATGTGAGAGGCAGCGGGGGTCACAGTGAGGCATTACTGTGCGGGGGGGGGCAGGGGGAGCCATGGAGCGGAGATCACGACGCAGGATGAGGTAATGGCTATGTCATGATTCCTCTTCCCAGGTCTCATCTCTCTGCTCCTCTCTCCTCCCCACCATATTCATTATTTATTACTCCGTGGGAGGGAGGCAGGCTCTATCCTAAAGCTACCTTTCATCTGCCTCCCTCATTCATTCAGTCTACCAACCCACCACCCCCAAGACGCCCTGCTCTCACTGATGCCGGCCTGCAGGTGGCGACGGTGCCCGGCCTGGTCCCCGCCAAGGTCGGGCACACGCTGTGGGCCCAGGTGTTCTGCGTGACCGCACATCAACAAGGCAAGCGGGTCTGCACCGTCACTCCTCGTGATCTCACGCAGAAAAAAAAATAAAAAAAATACAAAGACAGAGAACATCCTGCTCCCGGCGCCCCGTCTCCTCCCCCCCTCCCCTCCCCTCCCATCAGCACGCCAGCAATAATTCACACGAGGGCCTGCTTGCATACACTTCGCAGGGAGAGAGAGCCAGTACTGCTCCCAGATGGAGCGAACAGCAGCTCAACATCTATGCTGCTGGGAAACCAACCAATCAGGTGACAGTTGTCAGTGCCCCCCCCCCCCTTCCTTCCACAATCTAGGCAAATCTATACAAACAGCACATTGGTCTCATCTGAATATGGAGAGGAGCTCACTGCCAAAGGTCCATGAAAAGCTGGGCGGAGGGGCAGTGAGCTTGGGGTCCGCAATGGCCAGTACAGCGAATGTAGTAGCATCAGCAGGACCTCCACAGTATCATCCAGAGCAGCCTTTATTTATTTTTACCTTGCTCAGTGAATGGCATAGTGGTAATGGGCCAGACTTGTAACCTTTGTTGAGGTCCAGAACTGAGCCTCTGCAATACCTTTAAGACAGACTGTTAAAAAAAGCTTATTTACGATCTTCCATTTCATAATCATAAAACATTATGCAGGCTAAGGGTCTGTTAAAAGTACAGACAACTCTGGACTTCAACTCTGAATCCAAATCTATTTATTCATTGCTCATCCTGCTTTCCATGCCAAACTTCCACTCCAGATTCGCACAATCTACCCCCACCAATCAGGTGGTTAAATATATCTCGTTGTATCACTTTGTGTATGTCATCTTACAGTGTATGTCTTACAATGTAATGTTTATATACACATATAAAACACATACTCTACTTTACACGTGTGTGTGTGTTTATACACACGTGCACACACACACACACACACACACACTATTACTTCTCATTTGCACTATGATATTTCAGCTCATCGTGTATTTGAAATTGATACTAAAAGATACTCAGACAGACTTCAAAGATAAATAAGTAAATTACTTAATGAAAAATAAAACCGACAAAGCATGGGGTGCACGACCCTACGACTCTCCAGTAAGCCATCAAAATCAGCTTCATCCAGGTGACTCACCCCCCCCCCCCACTGTCACCATGGAAACAGGGAGAAGGGACACACGGCACATGTGACCAGTCACATGACCATCCTAAACGAATGCAATGCCCATTATTGCCACTGAGTGCCCAACAGGCAGCGAAAGCGGGGGCCTGTTTGGGACCCTGACAGCGGCCCGTGTCAGTGTGTCTGGGTGGCTACTAGCTGGTTTCACTTTCATTTTACTAGATTACGTCACTGTTGCTCACGCCACAGATAACAATGACTAAAACTTGGGGGGGAAACACATCGATTACAACACATTGTGTAGAATGTGTACAACATGCCTTTGTGTTAATAAACGCCCTAAGACATAAACAAAGTAGCATTCTTGCTGAAGCACATGCGCTGATGTGACGCCCAAATATTCTCCACTCGCCGCGAGGCTAATTTCCAAGGGCCTTAGCGCTCCAAGCGGAACACACCCTTGGCCATCACCTGCGGGGGGGGGGGAGGTGCGGATGGCAAACGCAGAAAAGCAGTGAAGGCGCTCGCCCCACTAATGAGTCGCTAAAATTTAATGACGGTGTTTAAAGAGGGAGACGAAGACGGGATTGAACCGCCGGACGATCATCGCAGGCCAGAGGGAAGCCATATAAATACAGACGGCAGGACATGCGGATGTGAGAATAAAAAAAAGGAAAAACGTTCAAAAAGAAAGAAAAAGGGAAAATAAAAAATTAGGGTTTCGCTTAGCCGTTCTGTTAAGAGACACCAGTGTTTAAACAAAATCAGGACCAAACAAAACAAATGAAGAGTATTAATAATGAAAGCAGATCAGAGAAAAACAGGCCCGTTAGGGAGGGGGAAGGCTATGAGCATTTACGCAAATTAAATGGGGAGGGAAGTTTCTCCAAGGCCCCCACCACCCGGAGAGAAGGCAGCGACCAGTGGTGGAGGAAGTACTGAAGCTTAGTACTTAAGTACAAATATCCTGCTAAATATGTACTCAAGTAAAAGTTGAAGTGCTACATCAACAATCTTACTTAAGTGAAAGTACTAAGTACTTACTTTTAAATTTACTTTAAAGTATTTTTTTTAAGTAAAAGTACTCTCAACGTCTGGGGTGTGCCATTTTGTAAAAGAATAGTAGATATAGTGACTTACGCCTCTACCTATGTCATTGCTCCTAATAATTACAAGCAACTATACAGTATACGTGTATTGGAAAGTTTGGTGTGCTTATTGTGCATGCACTCTGCAATACTGTGTGTACCCTAACTTAGAATTATGTGGATGACAAGTTATCTACTAGGTATTACCCAGTAGTATACCATTAAGATAAACCAATCAGGACATGATATATCTTTAAATCATTTATGTACTTGAAAACTATTCAACATATCTGTTAAGAGCAGTAAAAGGGAAACACAACAGTAACCAAACACTAGTGGTGGTGTGGCGCCATGTCTTCTTGAAATCCAGCCAGTCTACCAGCTCCTGTTGCCAATTGACGCGCGCTCTTCCATCATTGGAGCTAATAAAGCCACCTGATTGGTAGGAAATGGCAAACAACGCCAGAACGCAATAGGCTAACTATTTTTTCATGCAAGATTTTGAGGAAATCGTGTTCATAAAATGTAACGACTAACGGCATAAATTGTAGAAATGTAGTGGAGTAGAAAGTACAGATAATTGCCGCAAAATGTAATGGAGTAAAATAAAAAGTAGGCATTATTATTTTTATACAGATACGTTAAAAATGTACTTAAGTACAGTAACAAAGTACAAATACTTTGTTACATTCCACCACTGGCAGTGACACAGCTGGGGCAGAACCCGCGACACACTCAAGCGACACTTCAGCGTGTCTGCGGCAGAACCCAAACAGACCCAACCGAAGCTCCCTGCCAGAACCACTCAGAGTGGCGGTGGTGGCGGAACCCAAACACACAGGACCGAAACTCCGCCAGAACCACTCAGGGCGGCATGTCGATAGCTACAGCTGCAGGTCCTCAGTAAAAGTCCCCCCCCCCCACAGCACCACCGCTGTGCATGAACAAGACCGCCGCACAATCTGCTGATCTTGGCAACCACCCCAGCAGCGTGTGCTTTGGCCCAGCGCAGCCTGCCCGGGTTGGGTGGGAGTCCGGCAAGCGTGATGCGTGTTTGCGTGCCTGGAGAGCGTGCTTGCCCCAGGACCACACTTTTCTCTGTCCCCATTACCTAAAATCCCCTCCCTGCACTGCGATGGGCTGCGTGGTTGGTTGGTACACTCTTTGACCGCTGCACTGCATTACTGTGGTGTCATCATTACCCCCAACCCAAAAGAAGTACAGCTGCACCGGGATGAAGAATCTCCAAACCCACAGCAGGATCTAACCAAAAATCCAGCAAGACCATAGCGACACATGCCAGCTCCCCTTCCCCCCACTTAGTCCCCGGAGAAGGAGACCCCCCCCCGGTGGATAAACAGATAGCGACCCACACACACACACACACACACACACACACACACACACACACACACAGTAACGTCACTGCGAGTGTGTATGTGTTGCTGCAATTCAAGTCAATTCTGATTTCAAATAAGGACTTCAAAAGTTTAATGTCTGGTTCTACATTCAAATGCTATAAAAGGAATGGATTTCACCAAAACGCTGGAATTCCTATGCCATGTTTATTTCAAATTATAGATAAAAGAACCGATAAACACTTGCTGGGTATTAAAGAGAATCGATGCCGTTTTCCTATGGGGTAATATACAATGAGATTCTCATAACAGATAAAATTATCAGAATGACTGTATATTTTTAAATAAATTGGCACTGTATGACTTTATTCAAAATGAACAAGGCTTTCATATGTTTCATGTGGCATGGAATGATTTTTCGATGTCTATCATTTGAAATCTGGAGTCAGGACAAGTTCAG